TACGAATAAAGCTATAAATAAGAAACAAATTAAAGAATGAAGCTATAAATAAAAAAAAAATTTGTACATAAAGCTATAAATAACATAAAAAAATAAGAATAAAGCTATAAATAAAATACAAACTTATGAAGAAAGCTATCAGTAAGATATAAATTTATGAATAAAGCTATAAATAAGATAAAAATCTATGAATAAAGCTATAAATAAGATACAGATTTATTACTAAAGCTATAAATACCATATAAACTAAAGAGTAAAGTTATAAATAACATAGAAATTTATGAATAAAGCTATACATAAGATACACATTTACGAATAAAGCTATAAATAAAAAATAAATTTATACATAAAGCTATAAATAACATAAAAATTTATGAAGGCTATAAATAACAAATTCATTAATAAAGCTACAAATATCATAAAATTATGAAGAAAGCTGTAAATAAAATACAAATTTATGAATAAAGCTATAAATACCATTTAAATTTATGAATAAAGCTATAAATAACAAACATTTATGAAGGCTATAAATAACATAGAAATTTATGAATAAAGCTCTCAAGAACATATAAATTCATTAATAGAGCTATAAATACCATTAAATTATGAATAAAGCTATAAATAAGATGTAAATTCCTGAAAAAAGCTAAAAATAAAGATATAAATTTCTGAAGAAAGCCATAAATAAGATCCAAATTATTTCTAAAGCTATAAATACCATATAAATTTATGAATAAAGCTATAAATAACATACAAATTTATGAAGGATATAAATAAAAGACAAATTTATGAATAAAGCTATAAAGTCAATACTAAAGCTATAAACATCATTTAAATTTATGAATAAAGCTATAAATAAGATATAAATTTATGAAAACAGCTATAAATAAGAAATAAATTTATATATAAAGCTCTAAATAACAGAAAAAAAGAATAAAGCAATAAATAACATAAAAATTTATGAAGTCTATAAATAACATAAAATCATTAATAAAGCTATAAATATCATAAAACTGTGAATAAAGCTATAAATAAGATATACATTTCTGAAGAAAGCTAAAAATAAAATACAAATTTATTACTAATGCTATAAATAAGATATAAATTTCTGAAGAAAGCTATAAATAACATAAAAATTTCTGAAGAAAGCTATAAAGAACATATAAATTCATTAATAAAGCTATAAATATCATAAAATTATGAATAAAGCGACAAATAAAATATAAATTTAGAAACAAAGCTATAAATAACAAAAAAGAATAAAGCTATAAATAACATAAAAATTTATGAAGGCTATAAATAACAAATTCATTAATAAAGCTACAAATATCATAAAATTATGAAGAAAGCTATAAATAACATAAACATTTATGAAGGCTATAAATAACATACAAATTTATGAATAAAGCTCTCAAGAACATGTAAGTTCATTAATAGGGCTATAAATATCATTAAATTAGGAATAAAGCTATAAATAAGATGTACATTTCTGAAGAAAGCTAAAAATAAAGATATAAATTTCTGAAGAAAGCCATAAATAAGATCCAAATTATTTCTAAAGCTATAAATATCATATAAATTTATGAATAAAGCTACAAATAACATAAAAAATTATGAAGGATATAAATAAAAGACAAATTTATGAATAAAGCTATAAAGTCATTACTAAAGCTATAAATATCATTTAAATTTATGAATAAAGCTATAAATAAGATACAAATTAATGAATACAGCTATAAAGAAGAAATAAATTTATACATAAAGCTATAAATAACAGAAAAAAAGAATAAAGCCATAAAGAACATAAAAATTTATGAAGGCTATAAATAACATAAAATTATTTCTAAAGCTATAGATACCATAAAAATTTATGAAGGCTATAAATAAAATACAAATTTATGAATAAAGCTATAAAGTCATTAATAAAGCTATAAGTATCATAAAATTATTAATAAAGCTATAAATATCATAAAATTATGAATAAAGCTACAAATAAGATATAAATTTATTAATTAGGCTATAAAGAACATATAAATTCATTAATAAAGCTATAAATAGCATAAAATTATGAATAAAGCTAAAAATAAGAGAAATTTTTGAAGAAAGCTATAAATAAGACACACATTTATGAATAAAGCTATAAATAAGATATAAATTTATGACTAAAGTTATAAATAACATACAAATTGATGACTAAAGCTATAAAGAAGATATTAATGTATGACTAAAGCTATAAATAAGATTCAAAACTATGAATAAAGCTATAAATAACATATAAATTTCTGAAGAAAGCTATAAATAACATACAAATTTATGACTAAAGCTATAAATTAGATATAAATTTATGACTAAAGCTATAAATAAGATTCAAATCTATGACTAAAGCTATAAATAGGATATAAATTAATGACTAAAGCTATAAATAACATACTAATTTATATATAACTCTATAAATAACATACAAACTTAGGAATAAAGCTATAAATAAGATATAAATTTATGATTAAAGCTATAAATAACATATTAATTTATAAATAACGCTATAAATAACATACAAATTTAGGAATAAAGCTAGAAATAAGATTCAAATCTATGACTAAAGCTATAAATAAGATATAAATTTAGGAATAAAGCTAGAAATAACATATCAATTTATAAATAACGCTATAAATAACATACAAATTTAGGAATAAAGCTAGAAATAAGATTCAAATGTATGACTAAAGCTATAAATAAGATACAAATTTATGACTAAAGCTATAAATAACATATTAATTTATAAATAACGCTATAAATAACACAGATTTAGGAATAAATCTATAAATAAGATTCAAATCAATGACTAAAGCTATAATTAAGATATAAATTTATGACTAAAGCTATAAATAAGATAAAAATCTATGACTAAAGCTATAAATAAGATAGAAATATATGACTAAAGCTACAAATAAGATTCAAAACTATGAATAAAGCTATAAATGAGATATAAATTTATGAATAAAGCTATAAATAACATATTAATTTATAAATAAGGCTATAAATAACATACAAACTTAAGAAATAAAGCTAGAAATAAGATTCAAATCTATGACTAAAGCTATAAATAAGATATAAATTTATGACTAAAGCTATAAATAACATATTAATTTATAAATAACGCTATAAATAACATACAAACTTAGGAATAAAGCTATAAATAAGATATAAATTTAGGAATAAAGCTAGAAATAACATATTAATTTATAAATAACGCTATAAATAACATACAAATTTAGGAATAAAGCTAGAAATAAGATTCAAATCTATGACTAAAGCTATAAATAAGATATAAATTTAGGAATAAAGCTAGAAATAAGATTCAAATGTATGACTAAAGCTATAAATAAGATACAAATTTATAACTAAAGCTATAAATTAGATATAAATTTATGACTAAAGCTATAAATAACATATTAATTTATAAATAACGCTATAAATAACATACAAATTTAGGAATAAAGCTATAAATAAGATTGAAATCTATGACTAAAGCTAAAAATAAAGATAAAAATTTATGACTAAAGCTATAAATAAGATACAAATCTATGACTAAAGCTATAAATAAGATATAAATTTATGACTAAAGCGATAAATAAAATATAAATTTATGACTAAAGCTATAAATAACATATTAATTTATAAATAACGCTATAAATAACATACTAATTTAGGAATAAAGCTATAAATAAGATTGAAATCTATGACTAAAGCTAAAAATAAAGATAAAAATTTATGACTAAAGCTATAAATAAGATTCAAATGTATGACTAAAGCTATAAATAAGATACAAATTTATGACTAAAGCCATAAATAACATATTAATTTATAAATAACGCTATAAATAACACAGGTTTAGGAATAAAGCTATAAATAAGATTCAAATCTATGACTAAAGCTATAAATAAGATATAAATTTATGACTAAAGCTATAAATAAGATACAAATCTATGACTAAAGCTACAAATAAGATTCAAAACTATGAATAAAGCTATAAATGAGATATAAATTTAGGAATAAAGCTATAAATTACATATTAATTTATAAATAAGGCTATAAATAACATACAAATTTAGGAATAAAGCTAGAAATAAGATTCAAATCTATGACTGAAGCTATAAATAAGATATAAATATATGACTAAAGCTACAAATAAGATTCAAAACTATGAATAAAGCTATAAATGAGATTCAAATCTATGACTAAAGCTATAAATAATATACAAATTTATAACTAAAGCTATAAATTAGATATAAATTTATGACTAAAGCTATAAATAACATATTAATTTATAAATAACGCTATAAATAACATACAAATTTAGGAATAAAGCTAGAAATAAGATTCAAATCTATGACTAAAGCTATAAATAAAGATAAAAATTTATGACTAAAGCTATAAATAAGCTACAAATCTATGACTAAAGCTATAAATAAGATTCAAATCTATGACTAAAGCTATAAATAAGATATAAATTTATGACTAAAGCTATAAATAAGATACAAATCTATGACTAAAGCTATAAATAAGATATAAATATATGACTAAAGCTATAAATAAGATACAAATCTATGACTAAAGCTATAAATAAGATATAAATTTATGACTAAAGCTATAAATAAAATAATTTATAAATAACGCTATAAATAACATACAAATTTAGGAATAAAGCTAGAAATAAGATTCAAATCTATGACTAAAGCTATAAATAAGATATAAATTTATGACTAAAGCTATAAATAACTTATTAAGTTATAAATAACGCTATAAATAACATACAGATTTAGGAATAAAGCTAGAAATAACACATAAATTGAGGAATAGAGCTATCAAGGACATAAGAGTTAGGAAACAGAACAGAAGAGGTTTGACCCTGAACCCAGGCTCCAGCTCTGTGCCGAGCGCTGCTGCCGGACTCGCAGGAGGGAACCAGCCGCCAGCCGCTCCACGGGTTCACACGCTCCTCACTCCGCCGTCTTCCTCCAGAAGCAGCCCCGCTTACAGGCTCCACCTTCCGGCTCCTGGGGATCTAGGAAGCAAACACCACCGAGGAAGTGGCAGGCTTTGCCTACGGCTCAGCTGGCAGCACGCACAGCACCTCTGCTGCCATCAGGGACAGTCCAATCTGGCCAAAGGCGGCCTGCGACTTGAAAATCTGAGCGTGTTTTTCTCCTGTGTTGCAGCACACGTATCAGCAGGCTGCTGTGACATTTATTTAGTGATCTGAGCCACAAAGGTTGCGCTCGGGCACTCACTTGGGCAGCGTGGTGGGGTTTTCCCCTCTTACGTCAACAGTCACCTCATTAGTCGGAGTTCCCTTTGTGGCACTCTCACCCTCCAGCAAACATACCCACAGCCTGCATCTCACTGCTGTGTACTGTGACATGCAGGGCTCTGACACAACTCCCACAACTTCAGCGTTTATTGACTGAGAGAATTTATTCCCTGGTCCACCTAGGAGTCCTCACCACCAGCTTGCGTATAGAAGCGTGTCGGCAAGTACGCCGAGAGCTCCTACGAGTGCAAGAGTTGAACTGAAGGCCCAGTGAGGTACTTAACACTGCAGACAATAACTCAGCTCTTGTGATCTCCCCTTGCCGCAAGAGTTTCAGAGCAGCTGTCTTGGCCACCTCTAAAAAAGGCAGGCTCTCTTAGCAGGGACTTACCCTGCTGTGAGCTGTGTCTTCTCTTCCTGCACTGAGGTTTTGCAGAGGACCCTGGCTCTTCCGCAGCTTTCTTCACTGCCTCGCTTCCTGAAGTGAGCTCTCTCTCTTCCCTCGCAGATCCACATTTAACACTCTCATTCTCCTTTAAATAAACACACCAACAAATGAAATAAACCCAAAGACCACTCAATAGTTTCCTGGGGAGTTTTACCTCCATTTAGCACTTACTTGCTCTGCACTGAACAGCTCATCCACAGCAAACATTTCAGATGACTGAGCTGGGTTGTGATCCAGCTGTTCTTCAGGGGCTCCCTGTGTGCTCACAGAGTCTTGCGCTGTTTCAGCAGCAGCAGCGCTTTCTATGGCCGCATTGATGTAGCTTTCCAACAGCTCTCCATCCCAGCTTTCTGCAGGCTCCGGTGTCACTACATCAGCGCTCTGCGATGCATACATCTCCTCGAGAAACTGAAGCACATCTTCGTAGCTTAATTCCGGCAACTTCTCGTCCTCCAATGCATGATGTGCCCCATCAGAAGGCAGGCATTCAGCTGCAGAAGGTGGCTGCAATTCAGGACTCTGCGAGAAACAAAACACAGGGAATTTCCAGATCAAAAAATCACAACTGTTTTGAGTCAGGGCTGATGGCTTTAATGCTTCTGAGGACTGTGCAGGTCAACCCTTTTTCAGCACACACCAGCAGAGCTTGCTTTGCTTATTCCCTCTGAGGAAAAAAGTATCTCCAAGCTGCTGGAATGCGAAAGGAAGCCCTGGCATTTTTACTGAAGTTCTTTTACTATTTCATAAGCCAGGCCACCCAATAAGGTGCAGTTTCCACCAGAATTCTAGAAAGCATTGACAGGAAGCACTGGAGCTCTTCAGTGATAGGATAGGATAGGATAGGATAGGATAGGATAGGATAGGATAGGATAGCTCTGAGCTGGGGCCAACTCCAAAAGTCAACTTGGTTCTTCTCACGCAGACAATGAAACTCAGGACTGCCACAAGTTGTCTGGGACACAGAAGTGGAGCTGATTCCCAGTATCATAACATTAAAGAATCCCATTTTGTGCAGGCAAGGACTTTCTTCAAAGATAAACGGAGACTCGTGAACTAAAGCGAATTATGGTGAAGTCAAACATAACACTTTTCGAGGAAAAGAACACTCTGCCGATGAGGACACCCGCAATCCCGCTGCCCTGAAACCTCACCTGCATTACAGCACTGCCCCTTTCGTGTTTCAAAGCGGTGCTTTCAAATGGCCATTGGCAAACCACGTTACTTTTCCTTTCGAAAGCAGATCCAGTCCCAAACTTCTCTCCTTCCTGCCGCAAGAACCCAGAACCCTGCGGTCCATGCATGGGGTCTCCTCCCTTCCCCCTGCTCTCTGTGCGCTGCACTCACCTGCACAAAGACGAAGTCGGTGGACGCCGCAGCAGCAGCACTGGCGCTGACACTCAGAAGACCTCCCTGGGCAGGGGGTGAACACTGCGGGGTGCCTGCAAAATTCAAACACAGGGATCAGACTGCCAGAACTGCTGCCCAGGGTGTACAGTTCTGTTGCTTACTTGCATTAAACACTGCAGTAACCGCTCTGTAAGCCAACTCCCTGAAATGGATTATGACCTCCCCGCCGATTGTAAGACTGAGTTCTCCACCTTAAAACATATTTCTTCTAAAGTATGTAGACACAGATCCAACATACGCATTGCAGAATTAACCAACACACACGGAATCTTCATATTCACTCCTCTCTATCTTAATATCACCTTTTTTCGATTTGGCTGCTCGACTGTCTCAACACAACACGCCACAGAAAGGGGATTCAGACAGGAAGGGCATGCATGTTCACGCACACACACTGGAATGAAAATGGGATCTTATTCCAAAAAGCAGCTCTGTAGATGAAGCAGTTTCTGCGGGTCTCAGGTTTTGGTGCCACGCAGAGAGAACTTACAAGGAAAGGCACTACTGGCAGGACAGAGAATCTTTAAAATCTGCAGTCCTTCTGGGCGAGAGAGAAATCCCCCATGAAATCAAATCTAGGCCAATGTTCACAGTAATTAAATGGTACAAGTGTGACTTGAGGCGGCCATGTGATCAGAGGAACTTTTGTCCATTTTGGAGCAACAAACACAAGAGCTAAACAACAGGGAGCGAGCTTGTGGACATCCTTCCACAGCAGCACGAGACACGTGTCTGACTCCTGCTACCTCAAAAGCTCGTTCTGAGCAACCTTAGGATGAAATCTGGACATCTTTCAGAAGAACACCCTGTGACCTGCAAACATATTACAGTTCTGGATTGTGCCAAAAATCGAATGATACCTGGGCTTCACTCCCTGGGAACGCCAAAGGATGTTGACAAAGGCAAGAAAACCACCAAAGAAACCTAAAGGGCTACTGTAAAAACAGGGCGAGAGAGCAAAGGAGAGATTGGCTGTAACCTGCTGGAGTGATCCTAAGGAAACAAACATGTAGTACAAAGAGCCTAGTTTCTAAGAGAAGAAAAGGAAGAACCCAAAGGGAAAAAGCGCTTGTGAAACAGGAGGCAGGTGTAAAACGTAACGTCCTCACCATAGGCTATAAAAAGCTACGAGTAAAGTAGAAATTGCACAACTCTTGCACTTAGTAGAGCTTATAGTGAAAGCAGCTCGTGAATCAAACGCGCTGTAATGCCTGTACATCAAGGGGACGAGAACACAGGTAACCGTGTAGCAGCCCAGACTGGTGAGCGATTCTGACCGGGTCTGAAGTGCAGAAGGGTGCTCAGAAAGAACGGTTTGCACTCACACCACCTTTTCTTGGTTTTTTTTTGCCAGCTGCAGCAGTGCCTGATCTAACAGCAAGAAAAACTGCACCTGTGGAAATCCCACTGATGGGCTCGGCTGGCAAAGGGGCCAATTCTTTTGTAATACTTCAAGTGCTCCAGCTGAATCAAGATTCCACACACACCTGCTTCACCCACACGCTTTTGTCCTTCCCTGCTCATTGCAGAGAAGGCATTTCTAAGCTCTCCTGTCTCTGATACAGCTCATCTCATCAGAGCCAGAAGAAATGAGCGGCTAAAGCACATTCTGTCACAGGCTGGTTGCAAGTATACGGACAGGGAACACACATCTCTTTGCGAGCACACGCGTCAGATACACACGCAGTGACAGAGCACTGGCGGAAAACATTTCATGCATCGCTTGGCAGGAACTTCTCGAGCAGCAAGCGGAGAACTTTTGCCGTACCCGTTGGATCCCGGCCTTGCAAGCACTGCCCTGGAGACGCGCAGCTGCCCCGTTCTGGAAGGGCAGCACCGGCTGGAGCCCCTCGCTGAAGCGGCAGAAGTGAGCACACGGTCTGGAGAGTGTACGTGACCTCCGTGCAACACTTGTGGAGGACGGGAAAGGGAGCCCCCTGGCCTGGGAAAGCTGGGAGAGCCCCGTGCCATGGCAGCCACGCAACAGAACCCTGCCATGGTCTGGAAGGGACCGGAGGCTGCTGGGAAGTCGCTGCCTGGAAAGCAGGGGGCTCCTGGCATGAGGCGGCTGTGCTGGAGGGCAGAAAGCAGCTGTCTGGATGACAAGGTTGAGGAGCCTCTCCTGCAGTCACCAGTCCTGCAAAACAAAGGGAAACAAGGACTAAGGGAAGGAGTTTTCACTGGCCCTGAAAGGCAGGATGAGGAGCCAAGGCTCCACAACGTTCCCTGGGAAGACCACCTTTGCTCCGATATTCTTCATCCAGAAACAGACTCTATTCTTACACCTAAACATACAGTAACTGCTGCAGCACTACCACCTGAACACACAGGAACACCAGTGCTGTGCCAACACACAGCCATCTCTGGAGCATTCAGTCTCCTGAAACCCTCAGGAGCAAGTGATCGCTACTTAGAAATGCGCTATTAGAAATCAAAATGCGCAGGAGCTGACCAAACCGGCACAAGCCGTTTAGGAAGCGCTGCGCGTTACATCAGGCAGTAAGGTAAAATAAAGGGGGAATGGTGAAGCGGGGCTCGACCGAACTCCAGTGCGGACAGCACAGGGGCAGCCAAGGCAGGGGCAATGTCCAAATCCTAAACGTGACTCTGAGAGCACTTGATCACAAGTCCTTCAGTTTGTCAAGGAAAACAAAACCAAAGCCAGCTTTTTTCCAGGTAGCTCAACCGGTTGAGTGTAAAAAAGCTCAGACTTTGCCGTTTTGTTACTTCCAAGATATTCCCTTTCATCTTCCCTGGTTTCCTCTCTCGGTCAGTTACGGCTTCATGAAATGGTACTTGCCCTCACACGGTTACCCATCGCTTCACACAGATTTAACGACAGCTTATGGACAACCCTTCAAGGAGAAGGAACGTCCATCTGGTAGGGCTGTGCCAGCTCCACAGAGCCAGGGTGAGGGTGTTGTTACTGCAGCCCCCGACGGAGGCTGTCTTGCAGCCGAGGGGCAGACGGAACCACACGCGAACCTCGCTCCCCGTGCCTGCCGGCAGCCCATCTCCCTGCATGAACAACAACGGCTTTCCCGCAGCGGCGGAGCTGAGCGGCCGCCAGCAAGGTCAGGCAAGCCTGCTGCCTGCGGGGGTGCCGATCTAGAAACCCCGCAGCACCCAGTGCTTCTCGGGGCCCCGCAGCCCGGGGCCACCCCAGCTCACCGGGCCTGGCAGCCTCGCCGAGCGTCGAGGGCGGGAGCTGGGAGCGCTGTGCCGGGCGGCTGGGCAGCTCCAGGCCGGCCGCCAGCTTCGCCTTGTTGGCCCTCGTCAGGCGCTTGAGGTTTACGAGGAGCTCGGGGCGGTCGCGGCGGAAATGGGGGCTGTAGAAATGGAGCAGAGCCCCGGCGGAGCTGCCGCCATCGCCCCCCGCCGGGTCCTGCAGGGGCCCGGGCCCCGGCCCCGGCCCCAGCTTGCGGAACCCATAGAGGTTCAGCTGGCGGACGAAGCTGGCGAAGTTCCTGGTCTTAAAGACCTCGCCGTCCAGCGCCGCCCCGTCGCCGGCCGCCTCCGCGCCCAGCAGCTCTCGCTCGAAGAGCCGCTGGTCGATGAGCAGCCCCTCGCCGCGGGCATCCCAGCGCACGGAGCCGCAGCGCGGGCTGTTCACCAGCTCCCAGAGCTTGGCCGGGAAATGGCTGGGGTTGAGAGCAGCGGGCAGCCGCTGGCCCTCCATGGCGCTCCCCGACAACGGACGCACTGGCCACTCGCGCTCCAGCGGCCGCCGGGCAACGCCCGGCCCCGTCGGCCCGCCCTGGGGAGCGACACCGGCCCGAGCGCCGCCCGGCACGGGACCGGCTTCAGCCCGCGCTGTCCGCCGGCCCCGGCCCCGCCACCGCCTCGGCACAGCCGCACCTGCAGCATCGCCGGAGCCCGCCGGGCCCGCAGCGCCTCCCCGCTCCCCCAGCCCCGCCGCTCCCCTCGGCCGCTCCCCGGTCCCTCAGCCCCAAGAACAAAATCACGACAACAAGTTAAAAACCAAACCTGCAGCACCAAGACAAAAGCTCAAATCTCATCGCTATGAACAGCTCTCCAACAAACTTTGCTCCTCTACGTCTAGGCAGGGAAAAGAGAAACACGAACCAGCACTGATGCGCAATGCAACTGCTCGGCACGCGCTCAGCGATAACCAACCTGACCCGAGCGGCGACCTGCTCCTCCCGGCTGACTCCCCCCACTTTCTATACTGGCCATGACGTGCTCTGCTATGGAATACCCCTCTGGCTGCCTTGGGTCAGGTGTCCTGACTCTGCTTCCTCATGGCTTCCCGTGCCCCTCCTCACTGGCAGAGCAGGAGAGACTGCAAAGTCCTTTGCTCAGCCGAAGGGCTACTGAGCGACAGCTAAAACATCGGTGCGCTACCAGCGTGCTTCCCAGAACCAAGCCAGAACACAGCACTGCGCCAGCCACAGGGAAGAGAATCAATTCTAGCCCAGCCAAAACCAGGACAGTGTCCACCCCTTATTCCATACCATTCCCGTCATGCCAGGTCAAACTAATTCTTCAGAGCTTTAAGACCTTCAGAAAAGAGACAACTTGCTTTCTCCATAGCACTCTAAGGGCAGCAGGCAATCTCCTTCCGCATCTCCTTACCTCCTTTCTCTGCCGTGCTGTTGTTCTTAGACCTCAAGGAAGAAGGAACCACTAAACTCTCCCTCATAAGCACAGCGAGTGCTCAAGGCAGCAAGCGGAGGAGAAGCCAAGGAGAAGCCCATGGACATCGGTAGACCCCAGCACTCCAACAAAACCAAAACTCCTTTCTTCCCAAAGCAAAGCCAAATTCAACTCATGCTTTTCATCTCAGCAAAACACGATAAAATGAAGCCAACTCCCTGCACACCTTCCTCTCTCTCCAAGCTCAACTCTCCCGGAACAATCAGCAGCTTCAGGGAACCTTCTGGTGCCTGCTAAGGGTAACAAAGCCCACTTGTGAGCACCTTGCTCCCACTCTTCTCACTGCTCATTCTGTAGCTGAAGCCCACCAAAAATAATCCAGCGGGCTTTATGAGGACTTACGGAAATATCAACTTAATTCCTACACGTGGGGACCTCCAGAAAGGTGCCCCCAACACGGTAATTTGCCCTTGCCTTGCCACCTTAAACACCACTGCCGTACTGATCCTCTGCTGCATCGCTTTGGTGTCCTGGAGCGCGGCTCCACAGTGCCAACGTGCAGCCGCTGTTCCAAAGGACGTAGTGCCAGGACAGAAAGCAGTCGCTGAGCAGACCTGCAGAATGGTGCTGCCAACGCGGCAAAGAGACCTTGTTTGCCACCAAAACCACCATCTGCGTTCCGCCCCTCTGCTGAATGCACACGGGTGGCCTGGAACATGCACGCGCGATGTGCCAGGACAGAAAGCTCGTGCTGCACATCACCTACACACGGAGACCTTGGGAACAGTGCCACCGACATGGCAAACCACCCTTGCTTAGCCACATAGAAGTGCATCTGCGTGCTGCCTACAGAGTGCACTCTCAAGCGCCACAGAACCAAGCTCCCTAAGTGGAAATGTCCGGATCCTGCTCCTAAGGCTAATGGGTTAGAACAGAAACAAGTAACGGGACATGTTCTACGCAGGGAGTCCTCTGGAACAGTGCTCCCAACATGGATAGCGTCACTTACTTACACACCTAAAACCCCATCCCTGGAAAGCCCCACTGAACAGCACTCTCTGATGATCCACAAAAGAGCTCCCAAAGTGTGACCGTCCAAATTCCGATGTTCGGAATACAGTAAGAAACAGAAAGCTGGTGCTTGGCATCACGTAAACAAGGTGCCTTCCTCAACAGTGACACCAACATGGCAATCCACCTTTGCTTAGCCACTTAAACCTACACCTGTGTACGGCCACACGGCAGCACTCTCAGACACCCCATAAAGCAGGCCCCTATGTGCGAATAGCCAGACCCTGCTCCTAAGCCTCATGTCTTAGGACAGAAACAAATAGCTGGGCATGTTCTACACAGAGAGCCCTCTGGAAGGGTGCCACCAACACGGATATCCTCACTTACTTAACTCACATAAAACTCCATTTCTCAAGCCTCACTGGACACCACCATTCAGTGACCGAGACACCGGCTCCCTGAGCGTGAATGTCCAGACTCTGATTTAACCCCACGGTTATTTTATCCCCACGTTTTCCCCCTTCCAGTTCCCCTCCTGCTCCCATCTTCACACACCCCCCCCTTTTTTTAAATATTTTTTTTTCCCACAGGTCTCTCCTTTTTTTCTCTCTCCCTCCAGAGTTGTTCGGGGATTTTTTTTCTTCCCCCCCTCCCCTCCCCCCCCCCCGTTTTTTATCTATGCATTTTATCCACTTTTTCTCCCCCCTTCCCCCTCGCACATTTTACCCCCTTCTGGTTGGTGCGTTTTTTCCACACAGACCGTGCCCCTTCCCCCCCCGTTTTCTCCCCTGTCCCTTCTGCCCCCCAAATCTCCCCCTCTCCACGTTTTTCCCCCTCCCCAATGATTTTTTTTCCCCCACTGGTTGGTTGATTTCTTCCCCACAGTGTTGGGGTTATCCCCCACCCACCTTTTTTATTTCGGCTGGGAGCAGCACTCTCTGATGATCCACAAAACAGCTCCTAAAGTGGCGTGACACTTCTCAACAGAGATGCGGTCGGTTGTGACTTTTTTGCTAAAGATTGTTTCCTAAAGGGTTATGTGAGAAAACGGAGACCATATGCTCAGGAAGATGTATCTGTACTCTGCTGTCAGTTTAAATACCTAACAAGCTCAGTATCACAGTCTGTATTACAAAGGCGCTGAAGTGCCTTTGCACCTTGCAGTGCCCTTGTGAGGTTTTATGATGCCCATGTTACAGATGTAAAATCAAAGATGGCTTTGTAAATCTCCACTGGCTGAGAACTGCGTCCCCGTTTTACAAGGCTGTGCTAGTTGCTACTGTTAAAGTTTCTGGCCAGATCTGCTGTAAACTGAACAGTTACAAGCTGTAAATATGGCGTGGTCAGTGATGCTGTCATGGTTAATACCACAGAATAGTTGTGGTTGGAAGATGCCTCTGCAGATCCTCTAGTCCAACCCTCCTGCTAAAGGCAGGGTCAACCAGGACAGGGCAGGGCAGGTAGTGCCAAGCTGCTGTGTACCACCGTGGATGCCTTTTGCTCTGTCTGTGCCAAGGTAACCCCTTTCTCTGCCTCAGGAGGTAATACTGAACGTTGAGTAAGGACAGTAAGAAGCAATAACAAGTGCTAAATTTACTCCTGCTCTCTTATGCAGAATCCAGGGAGGGTTTAGATGAGCTCCTAGGCAGAAGTTCTTCCCTGTGAGGGTGCTGAGGAGGTGGCCCAGGGCTCCCAGAGAAGCTGTGGCTGCCCCATCCCTGGCAGCGTTCAAGGCCAGCTTGGACGGGGCTTGGAGCAAGCTGCTCTAGTGGAAGGTGTCCCCGCCCGTGGCAGGGCTTGGAGCTGGATGAGCTTTGAGGTCCCTTCGACACAAACCAGTCTGGGATCCATCCCGCGATTCCACCGCTCGCTGATGCAGGAGGACGAGCTCTCCCTCGTCCTGCAGCACACGAGCAGCGCGCCCGGGGCTGCCTCCCGCGGCCCAGCCAGCACCACCCGTGTCCGACCGCCGCCACCGGGGACTACGGAACCCCCCGCCCGCGGTCCCGGGCCCCGTCCGTCGGTCGCCGCCGAGTGCCGCGCCGGGGCTGTGTGACGGCGCCATCTAGCGGCGCTCTGGAGCAGCGCCGCCCGCTCCGCCCCGGAGCCGTTACTACTCATCCCCTTCGTTTACCTCGGTGGAACACATGAGCGCACCCGGTGCCCTCGGCAAGGCGCAAGGCGCATTGTATTGTTGCAGCAGCATGCTTTCACAGTGCTGCGGTTAGTGCGTTACTGCAGTTGAACCTCGGGCCACGTTACTAACCAAAGCACTTCAAGAAAGCCACCCAAGCGCGCTGACCTTGTCGCAAAGAACCAGGTTTTGCCTGCCCTTCGCAGGCAGCAGTTAAGTTCAGCAGTCTAAAGGGGTGAAGAACACACGGGCACACGTGAGAATGGAGGCACGCACCCAGAGGTAGAGTGCAAGCTGGATCGTTTATTGAAAAGATGACACGATATTTAGATGCTTCCAAGCAATTAGCCAAGCACATCTGCGTTTGCCTTGCGGTTACATCAGGTGAAAGGTCTATCTGATTTTCTTATCGACATCCTCTTTCCAGTTCTGACGTCCTCGTTCCTTGCCACTTCCAACGTCTTCCAAGTACCAGTCAGGGACAGGTCACTCTTAATCGCCTGCTGTAGTTCCTCCTTCCCATGCTCTCTGACAGCTTTGATACATTCCAACCCCCACAGGCACACACACATAAATAAACCCCAAACAGCCCGAACCACCCCCCCACCCCCGATTTTACAAACTAACATGCCCACAGCTTACTTCCATCTTACAAACTTCTCACACCTAGATTCTACTTCCCAGGATTTCTGCAAAGGCGCGGGGTGGGGGTGGGGGTGTGGGGGGGTGGGGTGGGGGTGCGTGTGTGTGTGTGTATTGAAAGCCAACAGGCTTTCTGCATGTGTTGTCCTATTTACACACCTTGAGATTCCAGCTGCAGCGCCCTGCTCCAGAAACAACCACTCACATTGCAGTTTATTCCTTGAACGCCTAAAGCTACGCGAGGATGAGAAAACCCAGGTAACAGCGCCTGGGGGTGTTTAGTCTGGAGAAGAGAAAGCTCGGGGAGGACCTTATCACTCTTTACAACCGCCTGACAAGAGGATGGAGCCAGGAGGGGGCTGGTCTCTGCTCCGAAGGAATGGAACAAAAGCAAACGGCCTCTTTGGAAGGTAAAGAAAAGCATGAATTTCAATCACTTTTGCTGTACTCAGAGTTGTAAAAGCGGGTGATGCACAGGTATGTTACAGAACCATTAATACCGGGGGTACAGCCTAGCCTGCCTTAATCCTCAAACCTTTTGTTCCACTTCATGCTAGAGATTTGCTAGAATTCAGCCTCTAGCTTTGCCTACAGCCATGTACTACGTAACTGTATTCTGCTTTATGTCATAGAACAGTTAGGACAACTAAGAAAAAGCAACTGTTTTCCTAGGGTTTTCATTTCTCTTCCATCACCATCTGTTACATATTTCACACTGTTCAACTCTATACCCAAATTCCTCACAAACCCATAAAACAAAGACCTGATGGGATTAATTCTCATCAAGCTCTTTCT